GGAGCCTGGGCTCCTCTTCGGTACGTGTCACGGAGCCTGACGGTCACCGCGGTTTGAACGGACGCGCTCAAATGCCTCTGGGTTCCCCTCTGAAGGAGTCGACTCTAATTCTGTCTGGAGAAACGTCACTGATTCTTTTTTTCCACAGGATTCGGTGAATGATTCAGCCCTTTCCCGCCGAGAAATCTGCTAAGAAATCTCTGATCACTGAATTCTCTGCTCTGCTTTCTAAATCTGTTATTCCAAGCAATGAATCTTCAAAAACAGTTGCAGATCAACCACTTGAATTAGAAATTAGAATTAGTTTTCTGTGAACTTTATGTTACTGGCACCAGTTTCCTATTTTATATCACAGCAGTGGTCTGCCAGGATTAGGGGCTGTCTATATACTATGCCTGGAGGCACAGACATATCTTTGAATGTTGCTTTGCAGAACCTTTTTGAGATTGTGTCAAAATGGAACGTGAGTATATGGACAAGATCAACCATTACTGTCAAAAGCGGAAACTTTACCTGGATTATGTCGACGTCGGGATGACCGGCCCATCTCATCATCCTGAGTAAGTTCACTATGCATGTCAACAAACATCAGGGCTCTTCCTGCAATGAACCAACTGGGTAAAGGTTGCAATCATGAAAGTTAATTTGCTGAAAGCGTCTGTGTGGCAGGAGAGCTGGTTGAAACCGTAAACTGAGTGGTGGGTGGGTGGGGAGGATGTCATGTGATAGAATTTGAGAAGAAAACTTATTTCAATGGCCCTTTTTTGGAAAGCAACAGCAATGCACGTTACTGGTAACTATATTGTAAGTATGTTATGCATCTGCCATGAAATCTCTCAGGAGGTGGGGTGGGTTGCAGCAAATATTTCAGTTTATGATCTATGCTAACTTAAGTGCTCTGATTTTTGTTCAGTTTTACAAAGTGTGGAAATTGTTTGTGATTTATGTTGTTAATTTCTAACCATAAAGGTTGGGTGTATATTAATTGATTGGGTACCAACATGTTTTATGTGTAGTTAGTTTTTGAGCATCTGTCTCAAAAGAGAAGGGTCTTTTGCTTAAGCTGTTTTTCTTTTACTTTTAGAGACAATTACAGGTGATGGAATATGTTTTATTTTTTAACACAAATACGATGTTTTGCTAATTTTTTCCCCTTGCCGGAGATCATAGATACTCAAGATCTATGATGTTTCCTTGTGTGATTTTTTTTTTTAATTTTTGCTAGTTTGCATGAAGACAAGACTTATGCTAATAATTAGTATGTTTCTTTTAATGTCTTCATGTTGCCAGCCAGCACTGTCTGTGCTGACTTATTCTTAGACCTGACTATAGTCCCAGAATAAATTAATAAGTATTATCTGGGTCTCAAATTTTAATCAGTTATCTTAATTTTTTCCCCCATGCGGCTCATGTAATTCAAAAAAGTAACCCTTACCGCAGTAGTGGCCACAGTTGTGGTCACACAACTACATTTTCATGCTTCAAAAGTGATGGCATGGACTAACAGAATTTACACACATTTCAAATTTACTCATTTATTCGACTTACTGTGCTTTTTCATTTTGTCTGTGTGCTCTGCTACATTCACAAATATAACTCAACCCAGTCTCTTGTGTCTGTAAGTGCTGTGAGGTGTGGCAGTGGTATTTAGGAGAATCCTGGATAACTTGCGCTGTTTCAGGGAGTACAATGTACAGTGTCTGGCTACAGCAATGAGTGCTGTAAACCTCCTTTGGTGCCCTTGTGGTGCTCTTTCCCAGTGCTCTGCCTGCTAACGGGATGCATTGGCCACTGCTGGTCCTGAGCTCGCTCCCTAACTCTTCTGTGCTGTGTCCCATCTCCTAAGTCCTCCTGCAGTTGTCTGAGGCATGATGCAGAGACACATCCTGTCATCTCCTCCCAACCTATCCTGGTTTTGGTGCTGTAGCTGCTTCCACTGCAATGTCTGAAGGTTGAGAGAGCCCAGGCTGGCTCAGTCCTGAGCAGCTGCGAGCTTTCTTGGGCTGGGAACACAGTGTGTGGACAACCAGGCCGGTCCTGCCTTAGCCTATCAAGTCTGGGCAGTGCTTATTAACTTGGGGTCCATGGTGGATAAGCGTGACTGTACATTTGGGACCAACTCATGTAGCACTCATGCAGATAATCCTCAACTCAGATAATTAACTCATGTGGGTCACTGAGACTCAGACTGCAGATTTCTTCAGGATGCTTAAATAAAATGGTGAATTTTGGATGCAAAGTCATAGCTGAATGTGAGTAGTGTTCAGTGCTTAGATATGGTTTTCCCAAAGAACAATCTTTCTTTCATGCTTTTTTTTTGTGTGCTGTTTCCTATGTGTAGAGTATGTGGCATGCTGTGGTGTGCCTTGTCCTGTTGTTTACATCCTTAAGGTCTCTCGCTAAGGCTTGATTGCGCAATGGCTGCACGCGCTATTCTGCATCTGCATTGTTTTCCACTCAAACATTTCGTTAAAGGGAAGTGGAGAGTGAAGTTGGAATAATGAAAAAAGTGGGTTCCTGAAGTCATTCCAGTCTTTGAGACAAATTGTTGGCTGTGAGCTTGTGTGTCTATATGCTCTGCTGCAGTCTGAAGTACAGACCTACCCCAAGGTTATAATAACGGTCACTTTAACTTGATGCAAGCCTGTGCTGCTGCCAAAAGCAGAAATCTAGTTCTTGTTTTCTCCTCTGTTGCCTTTTGAGCAAAGGCAGTAGCAGAAACACTAGGGAGCAGGAGAAGTCAGATCTGGATGAGAACTGATTCGGCTGAAAACCAACCATTCGCTATTAGGTCTCTGTGGTGGGTTGACCCCAGGCAGCAGCGAAACCCCAGCCAGTCACTCACTCAGTGGGACGGGGGAGAGAATCGGAGGGGTGAAAGGGAGAAGAACTTGTGGATCGAGATAAAGACAGTTTAATAAGTGAAGCAAAGCTATACGTGCAACTGAAGCAAAATAAGGAATTCCCTCACTCCTGCCCATTGGCAGGCAGATGTTTAGCCATTTCCAGGAAAGTGCGGCTTCATCGTGCATAAGGGTTACTTGGGAAGGCAAACATTATAAGCCCAAATGTCCGCCCTTCCTCCTTCTTTCCCCAGCTTTTATTGCTGAGCACGATGCCGTATGGCATGGAGTATCCCTCTGGCCAGCTGCCCTGCTTGTGTCCCTTCCCAACTTCTCACACACCCCCAGCCTACTTGCTGGGAGGCCAGAGTGAAGAAAAATGAAAGGCTTTGATGCTGTGCAAACACTGCTCAGCAATAGGTGAAACATTGTTGTGTTATCAGGGCTGTTGTAGTCCCAAATCCACAACATAGCACCATACCAGCTGCTGTGAAGAAAGTTAACTCCATCCCAGCCAGACCCAGTACAGTCAGTCCTGAGCTGCACCAGTTCCCTGTTCCGACGCACGGAGCTGCTGTATGGGAAGCAGTGCGTGCACAGTTGTGCAACGGAGGGGGAAGGGGTCAGTGGTTGAATGCTGAAGGGCAGGACTGTTTGTTTTTTGGGACTGTCTTTAAACTCATGACTCATGAAGCACCAGATAAGTTTTTTGCACTTACTAAATAGTGTATGTAGCAGTGTATCAAACGTGAGTGTAATGTCATGTCTGGATTCATGAAATCAAGATTAGCTAATCTTTCCTCTCCATATAGTTTTGCAGTGCTGAGTTGTGTCCTGATGTTAGGGCTTCACAACCTTGTCTGCAACAATGCTGACCTTATGCATTCTTTTGCTTTTAAAAATTTCAATAATTTTACTTTTAAAAAGCAGTTAAACATTTAAAAATGCTGTTAGAACTAGTAAGAACATGCATTCATGACTAGGGAGGAAACATTTAAAAATATTTCTACTAAAGAATTATGATAATCAGGAGTTAGATATAATAAAAACACATGAATACTTAAATACCTCCACAGTTAACTTGTAGTGCTTTATAGCTAATAAAAAGAAAGTTGAATTTGAGAAAGTTATTTAGTATATATGAGACAAAATGTGACAATGTTTTAGAAAAGTTTCCTTCATTGCAGGTTCACAGTTGTGGTTAAAATAAACAATGTAGAATATGGTACAGGCACTGGTAAAAATAAGAAGGAAGCAAAAGCAGTAGCAGCAAAAAAAACCTGGGAAATGATTGAGAAACAGGTGAGTAAACTGTAGGATTTAATTTTTTTTTTTTTTGCTAGTAAAGGTTGAAGATAAATCTCTAAAAGTAGCCAATAAAATAACATTGTTTTCTTTAATTTGGAAGAGTGTCTTATTTAAGCGGTCTTTGTTCTGTCTTATTCAGTGCTTTTCTACTTTTTACTGCTGAACTATTTTCCTTATTGTTCTACTACAAGGTTGGTATGTAATACTGAGAGTGTTTCCTCCTCTGCTGTTATAGGAAGATGAGGAAATATATTTGCCTTTGTTAAGCTGCCTTGGTATATCCAGAGTGGACAGTGTTCCTTTTTCATCTTGACAACTGTTCAGTAATTCGATGTCTTCAAAACATTTGTAGGGCATTGTTTAGTGTGTCTGTTGCCACTCTGCTCATAAAATTGCTTACTTTCACTTGACCTGATTCATCTTTGTTTCCTTGTCATTATATTCTTTATGCTATAGCTGGTTCTATACTCTTTATCCTTCCTTGATTCAGCTTAGGTTTGAATTTTGTTCCTCTGTTTTCTGCCATGTGTTTTGTGGTAGCCATTCTTTATTTTTCTTTTTGACTCTGAATGCTTCTTAGCACCTTTTGAGCGAAATTTTTCCTTACCTGTTTCCATATGCTTTTTACTGTGTCACCATCATTACTTTAGCACAATTCCTGCATGTTTGCTAATATATTATTAATGCTGCCTAATCATGAGACAGCTGAAAAGTCCTGCTTTCCCCTCTTGTACATGCACGGGAGTAATTGCAGCCCTTGCTAATGGCAGCATCAGCAGCATCCTGCTGCCATCCCTTTTCTTGGCTCTGGTCAGGCTGTGAGAAAATTCAGAAGGCAGCATTGGTTTTTTTTTTATGAGACATTTCACAGCTCGTTCCCTGTCTTTTCTTAAAAGAGGCGGGAGGAGACATGGTGATAGGTTGTTAAAGACATTGGTGCAATACTTGGAAAACTGGATTTACATTTCTTTGGAAATTGAAAATGTAATAATTCTGGGTTGGGATGGCTGTCCTTTGCCACAAGGGACTCCTTTAATGCAAACTTGTGATTTCTTGATTTCTTAAAAATATTTTGAAATGCTGACAAACCTCGCAGCGACTCCTTTAATGCAAACTTGTGATTTCTTAAAAATACTTTGAAATGCTGACAAACCTCGCAGTTATATTAGATCTCGTGCACTGTTTATCTTAATCCATTTATTAAGCTTAAGTTTTTAGGTTACCTATTTTGTTTGTTTTATAGCCAGAGAGTCCTTCAAACAAGCAAGATGCAGAATTAATGACAAGTCCAGGGACCTTATTACCTGGACCAGCCAGCGACTATGTCAGCCAACTAAATGTGTACGCACAAAAGACGTCGCAAATAGTTGATTATCCTAACAAAACACGTACTGGAGACGCCCATGCTCCCACGTAAGATGTACTTGTCTTCGTACTTGCTTTTAATACTTCTTTGTGTTTGCTAACACTACCATTAGTTACCCTGAGTAGCGTTAGATGAATCTTTAGAAATACCATAAAAATTTGGAGGTAAATTGAAGAAAATGAAGAAAATCCAGTGGAAGGCCATTAAGGTGTGTCGCGAATGAGTGGTTTAGAGGCCGCTTAAAGAATCACCATCAAAGGTATTAGCAGAAAGTGATTTTAATAGAGATTTATAAAGGTGCGACCTAACAGAGTTCGATGGCAAGGTTCACTCTATTACTTATTACACAGATGAAACATATAAAGGAAAATCATCTAAGGGTTTATATCTTAGGGACTATATGTGTTTAGCAGCAGTCTAGGGTTCATTCACAGTTTAGCAACACTTAATTATCAACTAATCATTAACAAACTTTAGTAGTGCTTAATAATTAACCAATTTAATATTTACAAAATAAGTGTTAGTAGAGGCTACTATAATCATGACTTAATTACAGATTATGCTTACTATTAGTCCACACATACAGACGGACAGGAGGTTTACCTGTTAAAAATCCCCCTCGATTTCAGTGAAGAAATATTCACGTTGAATGTCTCGGCATTTCTTTCTCAATGGGCGAAGGGTTGAGCTTCGAGGAATGAAGGGGTTCAGCCCAGGTCCCGTCATCAGCTTTCAGTGACGGTCCTCCAAATATCACAGACCCGAGAGGTCGCGAGCTCTGAGAGGCGTCCCACTCAGAGGGAGATGCTGGGCGCAGCCCGCTGAGGTCCAGGAGAGCTGAAAGGGTCTCACTTGGGACCACCATTTACAGGTTTGCAAGGCGATCGGCTTCAGTCATCTGTAAATTTCCATCCTGGCCACAGTCCCGGGTGGTGGTTACTAAAAATTCTCAAGGTTTCAGTGTTGTTGTACTTGACACCTGGGCCAGGCAGTAGGAGTACGTTCCCAGCTCAGCCATGCAGAGTTTCTGATACAGTCAAGGAGCGCTGAGCCGCCAGACTCCGTGCACCAAGGCCGAGGTTTCATGGGAATTTCTGAGATCAACGAGTGGCCCAGGAGAGCGGGGGGGGTGAAGTGCACCACCACCAGGTGGTTAAGGAGTTGGAGGATACAGCATAGGAGGAGAGGCTAAGAGGACTGAGTTTGTTTAGCTGGGAGAAGAGATGGCATGATGATAAAACAGTTGACAAAAGTGTTGCCACATTGTCAGTTATCTTGGTTGTAGCTTTGGCACCTTTGTGGACCTCTGAGCATGTATTTTGGAGACGCTTAGGAACCAAGTGCCAAGGAGAGCCTGTTTGTGTCCCCTTCTGTATGTATTGCAGTCAGTGAGTTGTAGGAATGTTTCAATTAATGACAGCTGAGGGATGATAAAGAATACCTACATATTTTAACTCTCTTGACAATATCTGCTGGAAAACTCCTCCTCTCTTCCCCTGCAAAATCAGCCATTTTAAAACCTAAACTGCAGATAATTTGTGATTGTGGGTGCATATGATACGATGCTTTGAGGAGTTCAACCTTAAAAAGTGCTAAATATTCACTTTCTGAAAATTGGTTATCTTGAAGGCATATCAAATTAGTTATCTTATCTACCATTATTAATTAGATTAAATGCATATTGGAAATACTGTCCTGAAGATGTATATTTCAGATTTTCATTCTATAATGTCAATTGACTGTAGTGTTTAAAATCATTAAATTAAGACTTGTCATATGGTATGTAAGACTTTATTCCCTGTTGTATTTTACAGGTTTTCCTGTAGCTGTACAATTAGTGGTTTTGTGTATGGACTTGGCACTGGACCTTCTCTAGCTGCTGCAAAACAAGCTGCTGCAAAAAAAGCACTTGAGAAGCTAAAGAAGGAAGACACTCCAACAGTATGTGCTATATTTAGCCTTAAGACAGAAGTTTAATTCTTGTATCTTTAATCTTTGAACAGATTTCCTAACTGTATTTAAAAGCATATACCATGGATTCCACTTAACGGGGAAACAATCCATATTTTGGTGGGTTGGCTGGGCTACAGGATTCTGTTGGTAAAATTTATGTTGTGTTTCTATATTCGATTGCCAGCTTAAAAAAAAATCACAGTTGATATCTCTGTGTATTTCAGAATATGGTCTGATATGTTGTCATTCAAGGATGCACATACATTAAAAATTTGTGAATCCTGACTGCTCTAATATACTGGTTGTCTCCTGTGTGAATTGTTGTCGAGCTGACTGACTATGAACATAAATCTTTTACTGCCTTCTGTTGGATCAAAAATCGGTTGTGAAATGTGAGAAAGGCAAAAGCAGGAGTGAGAATCAACAGGACTTGCCTTCTGTAGTGTTCCAAGGCAGAGTCTAGTGAAGCAGTTGCTAACACCATCCGCTGGAGAGCAGAGCTGTTGTCTTCATGTTGGCAACCATATTTCCATATGTGCACAAAATTATCAGAATTCTAATAGTGATCCAAAGCCACTTCTGAAATGCACAGAACAGTACACATGAACTAACTTAAATGAAGTGTAGTTTAAGGGGAAGGAAGGCAGTACGGTGGAGGGAAGAAATCTTTTTCACTTTAAGGACTTTTTTCATTATTTGGCTGTTTATGTGAATTTTAAATGCTTCTTTTATTGTTGTTTTAAGTTAACCATGTAATTAATGGCCTATTATAGCTCTAGGATCCTTCCTTAGTATTTTCCTGTGTTGTGAGCTGATGGGTCTTTGCATTTTCATCGAAGTCTGAAATTTACTACCTCAAGCAGAACCTCTGTAGCAATTATTCTAAATTTGGGGTGGGTTGTTTTGGTTTGGTTTTAATTTTTATTAATTCCCAGCAGTGTCTGTGTAACAAAAAAAATGTAACTAGCAAAAAGTAGTAAAGGCCCAGTACTCCTGAATTCAAAAAAATGGGTTTTGTTTGTTGGCTATCATTGAAACGTAAACCCTTAAGCTTTTTTACTTTTTGTCTGGTTATGGTCTGTAACGATTGTAGGTGTTGCTTTTAATGTTACATTTATGCTCTTAAGACATGGGTGGGGAGGGGAAAAAGGGGAAGAACCTCTACCAAGTATTTAGGATTCATTTTTAGTCAACCCCGTTTAGTAATCCAGGTTTTGCAGGGTTTTCACACTGAAGACATTGAATGTCTTTTTTGTCCAGACTCAGATTTTCAGTTCTGCTGATGATATATACCAACGCCCACATGTATCTTGTTTTCCACACAGACAATTGCATATGCAGTAAACAATGAAGACATTTGCTTTTAATAACTGTTACTCTTATCCGGATTTTTAATAGATCCCAGACACTACTTCTGCAAATGTGTCTATATAGTCTCAATATGAGTGGGAAAACGCTCACTGTGACAGGGCCCTGTGTTTCACTCCTCTGGGTGGAAGTTAGGCAGGTGCCTTTCTTCTGCAGGGCTTTGAATGTTCAGTGCAGTTAACAACTTCCACTTAGGACCTTGTCGTCTTCCCTCCCTCCTCTTTGAATGGCATCTTTTGCACGAGGGATTTTTTTACGTGATTTTTGTTAACCATTCTTGTTTTTTCTTTTTTCAGATGAGAAGTGAAAAATCTAACGGCGATTCTACATTTAGCGAACGTAGTAATTCCTCTCGAGTGCCAACTCAGTCTGACTCGGAGTAAGTTGGCTTCACTGATAATGTGCTAAGAAAATGTATTTACTAATCTTAGAGGGGTCATGTAATCTAGTTCTAAATAAAGTCTGTCATAGTTTCTTTATTGCAGTAAAAAGCCATTTAATTTGAGCTTATATTTCTTAGACTTCAGAGCAAAATTTGCTGTACTTGTGCAATTTTATTTGAGTCCTTACAGGTTAGCTTATAATAATTTTAGAGCTTTCTGATATATTTATATTTTGCCATGAGTAGTTCTTTCAGAAGCATTTTTACTGTGATGTAAGTGGAATAACCTACCTCATTCAGTAGCATTATTTCATGCCATTTTTAACACTCATTTACCTATTGTGACACTCTTGTCAACTCACTATAATGCAATTTCGGCAGTTTCCTATGCTCCACATTCTGCATTCTTCTCTGTTTTTTTTTTTCCTTTTTCATTCTCCATAAATCTTCATTTCTACTAAAGGGAAAATTTGCTTAGCGAAAGAAAATGAACATGCATAAAGATTCATTTGTAATTTGGGAACCCTAGGTCAAGCCTTTTGTGTCCAGCAGTTAATTTAACTGTAGTGCCACTACCACTTCTTACACGTTTTTTGTGCAATTGTAAAGCAAGCTGATACGTACAATGCTAGAGGTGGCTGCACTGCCTTGAAAAAACATCTGTATTTAACCTATTTAATTAAAGCAGATAATATTATATATCATATAGATATCTAGATATTGTGATTTCATATCATAGAAATAGAGGAGTATATTACAAAATGTTACGGTTTTACTAGCTTTCCAGCATAAATTTCTGTAGTTTAAATCAGTCATGATTGTTAATGCTTTTTCAGGTTTTGCTTTTAAAAACTGTGCATTTTTTTATGCTTCTTTTTTTCTTGTGGCAATAATTTTATTTATGATACTTATTATTTTATTTATGATTGTGTTACTTTCACCTAAAATAGTCTATTGTTTTTCAATAACAGCAGTATTTGCTTTGAAGACTCATCTGCAAAGTTGGTAGAAAAAAGGAAAGACATGGCAGTGTGTGAAAAGCCTTCACCTTCTCAGGTACAGTATGAAAATGGTCTTCCTCATAACTACATTTTAGACCCTGAATAGAGCAAGCTTCTTGTCAGAGGGTAGCATCAGTTTGTTCCTGTATGCACTAATCACTAGAACACACGCGTGCGTTTTTCCTAAGAATATTCAGTACTTTCTTACTGTTAACCATTAGTAATTTACTTCTGTACTGTGGACCCAGTTTATGTACTGTTGACCAAATGGGCAGTACTCCCAAGAAAGGGGATCAAACTAAGCTCATATTTTTCTGTGGAAGGAATGATGATGTCATACATAGCGTATGTGAAAAATTTTAAGCTAAGATATGGCTTCATTCTTACTACATTGTTTATATAAGGTATGAGCACATTTATAGACAATTCCTAGCTACATTCTCAGACACATTTGAAACTAAGCATAGTGAAAATATTCAGGATATCTCAGTTAGGTTTTTTTCTCTTTTTCATGTAGAGATACGCACAAAGTTCTGCCCTGAAATCCAGAAGGTACGTGTTTATTTCTAGGTTGCTACTCCCATAAACTATATTGCAAACCACTTCAGTGTTTCTATATCTAGCCAACAAATGCCACTGTTGGGAGGTACATTTCTTTTCTCTTGTCACATGTTAGAAAAATGGCTCATTATAAATTTTGCTTTTATCCTTGTTAAAGAAAATTGGCAGCTAATTTTGGTAATGCAAGAAACAAGGAAGAGAAAAAAAAGATGTCAGATTCAGATGAAAATTTGCCAGATTTGGACACAAATACCAGTGAGGAGAATGAAAGTCCACACACTGTGAATAAAAGGTAAGAAGGATTTTTTTTTTTTAATAAGATCTGTATGGCAATTACAGTAGGTAGTGGTCTAGATTTGTTTGTTTATTTATAATAGAATATGGGAAAATACTGCTGTAAAAATAACTTTCAAAGAAAATTGGTATTTGAGATTTTTTTTTTTCTGGAAATTTCGAACGTATAGCAACTGACATGCAATGATATTTAATGCTTACAACCAAAAGTCATTTGTCTGAATATGTGAGGGTAATTACATGCTTTCAAGGCTCAGTTTCCCTTGTTTTTTTAATCTTCAAGACTATGATTTAGACTTGTGTAGGTGTTGTGATCCCTGTAGAATAGTATTTCAGCAGATGTATTAGATCTGTCAGGATCATTTTTATACCTTGTAAATTTAATGTTAAGTATACTTAAGTTATGTATCTTTTTTTTTTTTTTTTTTTTTAAGATTTCTTGAGAGTTTTAAAAATATAGAGCCTATCGGTGAAGGTGGTTTTGGGAATGTTTTCAAAGCAACAGCAAAGCTTGATGAGAGAACCTATGCAGTCAAACGAGTTCACTTTACAGAGTACGTACTGTATATTTACTTCTGTTTTTTTATTTTAGGACAACCTTAATCACGATTTTAGTACTTTGTTTTGTCTCTTCAAAAATCCTAGGAGGATTTAAGCAATTTTCATTATTAATTGCCCATTCCTTCTGGTAAACTGTTTTCTTTATTTCCAAGTGAAGCTGAAAATGGCATGCAACTTTGTTAATTTTTGCACACGCTGGAATAATTTCAGATGCAGCTGTAAAAAAGTAGATTTGTTAAGTTCTACTTTCCCTGAACACACTAGTGCTCTGGTTATTAATATTGCAAAATGTGTTTGAAGAAAACTTGCTGATTAATAAAACATTGAAAGCAGCATTGTTACTTTTGACAGGTTACATGGAAAATTTACATATCAGTAATGCATAATGACTGTAATTAGGGAAAATAGAGAAAAATGAAAGTAATGCATTTTGTGATTTGTAATTGGAAAATGCTTTATGTATGACCCATGTAGTCGTTATTCTCACACTGTGTTACTTGTCCTTTATAAATCTCAACAGAGAATGATGATCTTAATATATTTTTTTTTTAAGTAATTTTCTGTAACCAGTACCTAGTGGAGTATTTCATCAGCAGCTGAAAAACTTGAATTTCTTTTAGGTAATCTGTTCGAAAAGTTTCAAGTTGTTGGAGATACTTATGTTGTGTAAGTCCCATGTGTTGGTCTCTTACATTGTGTAACTGCCCTTCAAATTCTTGCGTTCTTCACAAATATATATTATTTTCATTTGTATTGCAATCCTGAGAACTATACTAAAAAATATTCTACTGATTTTTCAAATAAAGACTGATGGCCTGCTGATGGATTTGAACTTACTTCACTAGGCAATGTTACAACAACAAGTGCAGGCCAAATTTAGTAATAGTTCTTCATGAGTATTTACACTGACTTCTGTATATGTAAACAAACTTCATAGAGGTGAAAAGAAAATACGGGCGTTTGCTACATTGTGTTTGGCTACCTAATGTAATTATGCATTGCAACTATCTGCTTTTTTCAGCTTTTTTTGCGTGGGGCTTTCATTACTAATATGGTTAAAACGTTTTTGCACTTTAAATAACTGAGCAGATGAAAGAAAACCCACAGATTTTGTAACTACAATTTTGAACTTGTATGAAGGAGAGTATTATGTTCTTTTTCTAAATTTATGTAAAACTATCTGTATACTGCTACTTGATATGTCTTTTATTTAACTTAGTATTCAATTTTTATAGGGAAATGCCATTTGGTTTTGGTTTTTTTTTTTTCTTTTTTTTTTCGCTCCAAATAGGAATGTAAGGCGTGAAGTAAAAGAACTTGCAAGACTTGAGCACGAAAACATAGTGCGGTATTATTGTAGCTGGGAAGGGTATGACCATGTAACTTATCCAGACTCAAGGTAACTACACTTTGCACTCACTGTGTTTGCACTCACAAACTTGTTTGCCATAGTGAATTTTGTGTTGTAAAAAGAAAGGCTGATGATTGGTTATAAATCATTATACAAATATAAATGCATACACATACTGTTAGGAAAAAAGGCACAGTACTTTTCAGCAGCAGGTTGTATATAATTAAGTATATTTATATCTTCTTTTCCTTGATGAATAAGATACATTATGTAATTTTATCTTTCTCCTTTTTCTTAATATATAGAACTTGCTGAATCTATAGAAGAGTGTAAGAACGCAGAATTCAAAATTTGGGGCTAGAATTAACAACAGAAACTAACAAATTGTCTAGCAGTTGGCTGCCAAATTCCTGACTGGAAGTTTCCTTTTTTTCATAAGTACTGATAAGCCAGTAGCTCTCATAGATTTAATTATTTCTCTAAGTTAGCATTTTAACCATGATGCCTGAAACAGTTTTTGTTGTTGAGAACACAAACACAAAATGAAAAGCTCTTTCACTTAGAGGTAGTCTTTCAACACTAAGACTTCTGGGAAGACAATGGTGAGAGTTTTACTTATAAGTTAGGTTATTAACTTTTCAAAGCTTCTGTGGTAAACTTTTTTCACTAACTGTAAATTCATACCCTTCAGATAGGTTGCCACACTTACCTAGAGCCGTAAAATATTAATGGATTCAAAATTATGGTTGGCATGGTATCTGTCCAGTGTGCTCAGTAAATGAGGAATAAAATGGGGGAAAAAAGGTCTCATGTCAAAACCCAACCATTAATATGTTGGAGTCTCAGTATCACTTATGCGTTTTACATTGAACAGTTATTGGGCAAAAGAGAGAAAGAGAAGTCCTCAAAGCTGAGGTCCCAGCCTGGAATTCTACTTAGTGCCCTGACCTCAAGGCTGCAGAGAGTCCCGAGCCACTTTAATGCTTGTTCTTTCAGTGCCTCAGGTGGCTTTATTCCAGGGCACTCAGATCACACAGTGCAAGTAGGAGAAAGTGGTGCGTCTTCCTCTTCATATTGTCCTTCCCCTCACCATCTCCAGCCTCAGCTTATCCTATGGGCTGGTGGTGAGGGAACTCTTCTGGAAAGTGTGAAGCTGTCAGGTGGGTGAATATATTTTGTCTAGATTTCCAGCTCTCAGAAGGGTTTTTCTAACTTGCAGACTGATGCCAAAGATGGCCACCGCACTACCTTCTTGAAGGGACAGAGGCTGAAAGAATGTTATCGTTCTGGGTAGGAGAGGAAGCCTAATGCTGTGTTTGTTGGGCAGAATAGAGAATACCTGCCAGGGACTTGCAGCAGTTCCTAGAGGGCAAGATGGGAGCCAAGGACAGTGCTCTTCCTGTATAGAACATGCCTCTAGATATGAAGGGAGCAGAATTTGGGCACTCAGAAAACTTTCAGTGTGAACGAGGAAGCAAGCAAAACGTTAGGAATATTCCAGGGGTATGTAGCAACCGAGCAGGGACTCTTTGGTTTGCAGTTCTATTTATTTATATCTAGTACAAATTGGTCTAGGATCTTTTTTAAAATCAAGAGACTTGCAGACTTTGTTTTGGGGAACTCCAAAAATAGTAACAATTAACAAAAAGGTTTTTTAAAGAAGAGGAACCTGAGAATCATTGATGGCTTGGGAGGAATTGTATCTTGCCAATTTCAATATGGTACTTACTTAAGTTTCTTTTGCAGGCAGAAGTCAAAGAAAGAAATTCTCTGTCTTTTCATCCAAATGGAATTATGTGAAAAAGGGCCATTGGAAGACTGGATTGAAAAGAATAGACTAGACCGAAAGTATCATGAGATGGCACAAAACAAATTTTTACAAATACTGGAAGGAGTGAAATATATTCATTCTGAAGGGTTAATTCATCGAGACCTCAAGGTAAGTTGGATACGTAATTTAATACAAAAAAAAGATAAAAATAGTACTTACTGGAATTTCAGAAAACGTTAAATTGTTCTAGTCTTTGTTTAGTCTATTATGTACCCTAGTAGTGTGCCTCTCCTGATATTGCTAGTGATTAATGTTTTTTTAGCAACTGGCTGGATTTCATCCTAAAATCAGAAGCTAAACTGGAGGATCTCAGAATGCAGTAGTTCAAAAAATCAGCATTATCACTTAACAGGCATTTTCAGTGTATTATGTGTTACTGGGTCACAAGACTGCCTATTGGAAAAAGAAATACTAACTGCACTTGATAAAATAACTAAAAGAAAGTGAAAAGTTGAGTCTAGAAAGTTTGCTTTTGCCATATTGTAAAGGGATAGTTTATCTATCCTAATACATACTGTGTTTGATAAGAACATACTCTAGTTGCTCTTGTATCATGTATGCATACAAATATTTGAATGCTACTTTTCTGGATAGAATTTCAGTCTCTACCAGTGCACAATCATAAAAAGATTTTATTTCAATATAAAGATTATAAAGGAAAAAGTTGCAAACCTTCAGGGCTTCGTATGCCAGCTATGGTGTTGCTTACAGAGTTTTAAATCACTTGCTTTATGAATAAGTCATTAGTGTGGTGGTGTTCCTAAAAACAGCTGTAATTAAATGTTGCTCTAGGATGCTGTTCTCCTAGTATAGTGGCTAATTCCAAACACCTAGAGAGTATTCGAGCTGAGAGATGATACAGTGATGCTGTCCTCGATGTATATTCCCTTCCTCTCAAGACTTCCAGTAACCTGAAGTTTATAGACTTCCTGAGCCAGAGATTGAAATCTTTTGCATTTTGCATTCACAGTCTAGTTCCAACTCATGTTCACTGCCCACTCGTAGAAACTTGTCTTATGGACAGATACATTTGTATCTTGTAGAGCTTTTCTGTTAGGCTTATTGCTACAATACCAGAACGAACCACAAACACACACTCATTATATTCCCTAGATGCCTGGGAAAAAGAGGCCTAGTAAGTGCCTTCACTCCTCACCCATTAATTCTTAGCTCTTCCCACTCTGTGCTTTGTATTTTCTTGCTCCTTCAGTCCTACTTTATTTTCATCTCAGCTCAATCTCCTACTTTTCCCTATGCCTATGAATCTGCTGCTCCAGTCCCTTATCCATGGCATCTGTTTGTAACCTGCTTCCAAGTCCTATTGCTAACTTGTCTGTCTGCATTTGAACTTGGGAACTTTTCTCCCCACTTTGATCTGTCGTCAACGTAGATGCTTGGCCATCTGAGGTCTCCGTGTCCCAGAATCAAAGCTGCAGGATAGGTTCAAGCTGAGATGAATTCCATTTGTGCCCGGTATGAACGGAGTCTTCAAATAGTGTAGCCAGGTATAGGTAGTGTATTAAATGTATGTTGACATGGTCAAACTTGAGCAGAAGAAACTGCATTGGGCATTCTTGATGCAAAGATCTCTTCCTGTTAAATATTAAGTCTCTCCTGGCCTTACAGTCCACTGGAGCTTCTTTGAGTAAAAGATAGCATGAGGCTATTCGGTTTTTAGTAACATTCAGAAATGTAGTTTCTTTATCTTCTTTGGGAAACTTCATCCAAGCATATACAATTCTACTTTTAGTTGCTTATGACTGTTGAATTTAAAAATGGGAAGTTCAATGGAAGCTTAAAAGTGATACTGTGAGATGCCTGTAGTAAGCCCTAACTCTGCAATTGACTTAGTACAGATAATCCTGCTGTGCCTAAGAGAAACTATGATTTGAGTGGAATTCCATGTAAGCCTAAATGCTTTGCCCAAGTGTATCAAATCCCAGGGCTAGGATTAAAGACTAAAAAGCACTTCTGGATATGAAAAGTTATATGCACAGTGTATTTGAAGAGCATTAAAGCACGATATGGTTATGACTGAGCTAGTGGAAAAAAAAGTTGCAGTTACTGTAGCATGTACTACTTTAAATTTAGTTTGTGTTTTTAAAAATTAATTAAACTTTTTTCTGTTTCCCACCTCGTCAGTTTCTTAATGCTAATTTCAGTGAACAGTTATCAAATTTTATGGGGAGCACTTCTATGGCTGATTATGCTTGACTATAAACCTTGGTCACATAGTGATTTTTTTTTTTTTTTTTTTTTTTTTTTAATATATATAGCCTCAGAATATATTCGTATCACATGAAGATAAGATAAAAATAGGTGACTTTGGTCTTGTGACTTCTGTGGCGTATGAGACTCTGACTGAGAACAGAGGAACAAAATCATATATGGCACCAGAACAGGTAATTATCCTGCTATATTAGTGTCTCTGTAACTAGGTTTGCATTATAAACTCAGCATTGGATGTTCTCAATCCTGATCTCAGTACTAAACCAAGTTGCCTAAAGTTCCCTGCTATGACTGTACATGAGGATAACTGTATTCTGGAGAAAGCTGTCTGCAAGTGTGGTGATGTTATTTCGCTGTGCTAACCTAGAGAGTCTGATGCTGCATGCTGTAAGGAATGCTCTTGCAAAACCAGGCTGCCAGCCATGTATTTCAATTTGAATTTAGGACCTCTGTTAACTGTGGCATTTGAGTCCTTCTATTTGTTTCGTTATTTGTGACAGAGAGAGATTGGCGTGCCTTATCTGTACGGGTCTGTAGAAGTCTTAATTTCAGTGTGTTTAATGTAACGTAATAGTCACTATTTAACAGGTCTGTAGGAGAAAGGGTTAACGACTAACAAGAAGATCAAGTAGGGCCAGTGCTGTAGCCTAGGGGTGGAAATTTCTACCGACTTCAAATTTTGCTTTAAGAAGTGCTGTCCGGTTGGATTTGACGCCTATATTGTTCTTGTTCTAATCTTTGTAGATTGGGGTCAAATATGGAAAGGGAGTAGATATTTATGCACTGGGATTGATTTGGTTTGAAATTCTTTCGGCATTCACTCATCATGAGAAAAATAAGGTATGTAATCTTTAAATTTAAAAAAAAAAGTCTCAGTCATTTTTTTGCCTTGCTGCTGGTATCACATGGAAGGAATCTGTACGTCTAGAGTACTGTCTCCATTTGCATTTTCCCCTTGATTAATTTCTGTAAGGCCCGTAAGTCCTCACACCTCGGCTGAAATGTAATAACAGAAGTAAAAAAATATTACTGGTTTTATTTCACTTATGTCCTAGTGACATGCACATTAAAGCCTGAGCATGCTAAAGAATACGTCTAGCAAAAAAGACTTCAAGTTTCTGATAAATCTTTTCGTTTGATCAGAGTATCTGAAGGGAATATTTTTCTAATTTTAGAAAATAAAAATGATGAATGGGAGAGTTTTGTCTCTGCCATGCTCTCGTCTTCACTGCACGGTGGAGCAAGAACAAAGTTTCTATAAAGCCAAAACACTTGCAGTTTTCCAAAATGAAAACAAAAGTGATTTGGAATATGTAGCTTTAATTGAAAAAGATGTTACTTCAAAAAGAAAACCGGTGTTACTAGAGCTTTTTTTGAAAAGGTATCTTTTATGTGTCTTTTGCTTTTTCTTGGTACTTTGCACATTAGTAGTGTAACGGCTCGTATGCTCAAACCTAAATATTTGTCAGACAGCAATGTAGCTGCTGAGTATCTTGTCCAAAGTAATTGTAAGATATAGGTACATGGTTGGACCCAGAAGCTCTTGAACAGTTAGCTTGGTCCTTTTGCTAGTATGAGAAAACCATTCCAATGTGTCTGCTCGACTCGCAGGTTCAACTTGGCTCTGTTTAGCTACCTTGTATTTTCTAAGACCTTTTGTTCCTGCTCACAGCTGACTGTGCAAATGTGTCCAGTCCCACAGTGTTTAAAAGGGCAAGACCAATTATTCAGTCTTGTCTCCTTAAAGCATAAAAATCTTGTGTCTGTAGGCAGGTGGGGAAGTCATGTGGATGGAAGAGTCCTAGCATGGTCTTCAGCTGCTCCATCAGCTTAAAAAATAATGTCACTTAATGGAGCATGATAAACTCTGTTGTATGGTGCTGGCAAGCCCTGCTGAAAGAACATCATGCAAAAGCGAAGTTGATGATTATGAGCTGGGTAACTGGTTCAGCTGATGATCACCAGCAGGTAGGGTCACAGGCCTAAAGCTACTGCTGGAGTAGGGAAAAATCTTGAAGTTCATGGGAGCTGTTGTTTTACTGGATACTGGTTATAAGGGCTTGCTAAGCCAGGCTATAGCATCCATAAGACTAGCTAATGATTCAGGATGCATAGCTAAGTGTGCAAGAATATGACCGTCATCTTCTTCAGGCACACATTACACTAGTTAACAGCAAACTCAATGATGTGGACTGCTCTGTTTACCCAGAAAGCTCCATCATGTGGAAAAAAATAGCTGTTACACAGAAAGTTTCTGAAAGCGTACAGCTAGAAATCCTCTGTATGTTAGTTGCTTTGAACTCCATGTAGCATTTTCTGCAGTGACATAGAAATAAGTGTGTGGTACTGAACAAGGTAAAAGGGAGGAAGCACACCTGCTTGGCTTGCAAATAGTAACATCCAAAGTAGGAAATGTAGTCGTCTTGCTTTTTGTTTTTTATTGTGGTAAGAGGATATAAACCCACTACTTTTAAATTAAGGAAAGAAGAATAATGGTTCTGAAATAGAGAGGATTGCTGAAACAAACACATCATTGTAGAGTGTGAAGCTTTTAAGCTTAAAAAGGGACAACAGTAGGCGAAACGACCATAAAAACAAAACAAAGTACAACTAAATGGAAAAAGCTTTCAAACTGTTTACAGTTACTTTCTTTTTGAAGCCTTACCTTTTTTGTAGATTTGTATTTTCCTAATTACTTCAGTAAATTATATGGGTCATAAAGTGAGATGCAAAATATAATCAATGAAAACATACTGAAACTGTTCTCTTCTATGAATTTCAGGTATGGCGTTATGTTAGAGAAGGTAATCTTCCACAGAGCTTCACCAAGCACTTTCCAACAGAGGTATGGGATTTTAATCCATTATTTCCATTAGTTTATTTACTCATAAAAAAAAATTTATTGACATTTAATTTCTTTTTCCAGGCATCCATAATCAAAAAGATGCTTTCAGGAGACTCTTCAGGAAGATACTCTGCATCTGAAATACTTGAGCTTTTAAAGTCTGTTGATAAAGACAACTCACTTAAACCTCATACTCAGTAAATGCCCTTTTAAAAGGCTTTCAGACTGTGTTTAAATCCAGAGTTTGATGACCGTTGAAACTGATGAAATAACAGCAAATGTCAGAAGCAACAGCAAGACTTAGGATATGTCTTTTCCTTGGTGTTTTGCCTTCCTGCCATTGAGGAGCTTGTCAGCCAAAAGGGTCACATCACCATTCATGCCCATCAGCTGCAGACCAGGACAGCATACTTCTGCAAGCAATCACTTGTGATTTTTACCTGGAAACACAGGTTGTGAATGAGCTGAACTATATTGTACAATAAGTACAGGAACCTAGTCCTTGTCTCCTGGAAGATTAAGTTGATGTGCTAACTGGCCTGTGGCAAATCCCTGTACGCTTGCTCTTAAAATGTGCTGCATCTATATCAGTTGAGGTTATCTATTGCTTTCCATGGACGAAGTTCTGTGGTATGTGACTCAAACCTTTCTGATTTGTTCAGTGATGTTTTTAATAATTACTACAACCATTAATACCAAGACTAATTTTGGTAGAAAAGATACTAGGAATACGTGTGGGTATTCTTCACTGAATTTCAGTTCTTTTAAGGTGAACTTTCTTATCTCTACACACCTGTTGAACGCCTAGCACCTTCAGTGCTCTAGAATTTAAAAGTACATGCTTTTAAAGTAAGCATTTAAATGTTAAGCATTCAGCTTCTAGGAAATTTAGTTTAGATTTGTTCTAAACTTTTGAAAACCTTAGGTTTTGAGGGTGTTTTTTTCTGAAAGGAACACTTTAGGTGCTCTTAATATAGCAAAATTCTCCAGTTTCCTCAGTAGTAACCATTTGAAATCCTGCTGAGAGAGCACCTTAAACATTCTCTCCATACTGCTACGGTTTAATCCCTTACTGTAACACTGAGGCACGCTTAACCCTTACCAAGTGTACTGAATACCTCTGATGGCCTTAGTGTCAGCCCCAAAAAAGGCAGCAGTTTGCCTGTTGCTCTTTAGTTATACTTCAAAGAGTTCAGACTTGCCTGGACTGGAAGAATTTTGTGTGTGGTGGGTGGCGAGCAGGGAGAAAAGACAGGCACCTTAGTCCTTCAGAGGCTTGTCTTTGAGCTGTATCTTTTAAAACTATTCATTGCTGTGGAGCCCACATAACTCCATAAAGGCAAATAAGCAGAGGTTTCTAAGCAGAAAAATACATACTACGTGTAGTAAGGTACTGTATGCTTTTTCTGAAATGTTAAATGGGCTAAAAGTGGATGCTTGGTTAAAAGAAATAATATAAATGAATGCACAGTAATTTTTATATTTTTATGGTAATTATTGCTGATCTGCTGCAAGTATTTGTTGCTAAATAAGAATCTGATTTTACATCCTTTTGTAAGGCCTGAAGTTGGTTTTTTTCGCTTATCATTAATCACAAATACATAGAGCATTTCACTATTCTGGACTAATTAGTATTTCTTTGCAGTAATCAAGATCTGCGAGAAATTATAACCTGACACAGACAAAATACCACTAGTTCCACTTCCTCTTCCCTTTCACCCATAAAACTACTCTTATAATATGAAAATTGATATGTGACAAACTTTGGCTGAATATCCTTTACAGTTCTTGGACAGAGCACCCATAATACCATTACCTTCTTACTGTTAAGTAATATTGAGCTTGTCCCAGTAGTTTTTGATACTTTTTTTTTTTCATAGTATTTGTATACTTCAGCAGTACCTTTCTATTAGCGACTGTTTACAGTAGCAACTGGTGTTCCCTAAAAATAAAAGGTCTAGTAAAATGTATTTTTAATATAAAAACAAAAAACCTAACTACTTAGTTATGCAAAATATGCACCTTTACATACAACAGAATATTGGTTCAAATAACGTCACTGTAATGTTTCACAAGGTTTTTTTTCTCACCAGGTCTAAGATAGTAAGGAAAAAAAAGTCTGATGTTTAGGCATCGCTGTAAAGATGAAAAAAAATGTTTAACACATTATAAAACAGAGTAACTAGCCAATATTTATTCCCTTACTCAAACCTGAATTTTATTATCAGCTCATCTTGTTCGGTTGGGCAGGGCATAACCAAAGACTGTGGAAGGCTTAACCTGCCTCTAAATTATGGTAGTTCAATTATAAATGCAAAGTTTTAATTCCTATTGAATTGTGCATCAAGCAGAAAATCCCTAAGATGCTTCAGAAATGTGAGTTTAACCTGTCAACATAACTATTCTTCTGCATACTTTGGTGTGAATTCTTCAGTACGGCACAGCTCTGAACCTTCTAAAAGATGTTATGAACTATACATACTTATCTAGGACTCCTTCCTTTAGAAGGGCTTTAGTCATGATCTGCAGCACTGTCTCCAGGGCAGTTGGAAGACAAATCTTCAGAGTCTACAGGATAAGCAGAGAAAAAGTGAGTAATTCCAGCTCAGAGGAGGGGAAAAAAAAGTTGCTGGAATTATCTGGAGAATCCACATAAAACAAATCAAATAGAATTGAGTAAGGTTTGCAAGTTATGCCAAACTTTGTTTTAAAATAGTGAACACAAATTCTACCCTGTTTGGTTCATTGAAACTGGATAGTGTTCTAACTGTTTCAGAAACACCTGCAAGCTTTTGCAGCTTTTTATGGTACTAGTTTTAATATCTGAATTTTGTTTTCTCAAAACAAAGTTAGTATGACTACCAATTCAAATAAATGACAGTATGGTTGGTTGATTGGTTGGTTTTTTTTGTGCATGTAAACACCTAAAAATTGGCTTATGATCAAAACATACAAAGCTTTGTGCAAAAACCAGCAGCCTGGAAGGAAAATTTGCTATGTAGATTTAACAGACTGCAGTAAGAGAAACATAAAGGATATATTGTACTATTTGACTGCATAAGCAAAGTAAAACACTTACAAGACAGGTTTAGTCTCACCTTCATAGGTTGTTCCACACCAAATGCAATAAAAGTGTTCTTCTCTCAAATAGGCAGTCAGGATGTGTAGCTTTTCTGATACCTAGAGATATGTACAGGTATGCAATGATCTGGGGCTCACGTGACATAAAACAGTTTGAGCTACTATAACCTTTTGCTATGGAAAAGCTACACAATAGCTTTTGTAGCTACTGTAGCTCAGTAAGGCATGAAGTTTCCCAAATTTGTAGCATATGGCACAGGAATTCATGATCTCTGAAAAGTTAATAGCTGTTGTTTGCTCATCCTTCCTTCCAGCTAAGAAACGTGCACTGAAGAAAGAGCTAAAAATATTACCTAGCTACCTTATTTCAAGTATATGATATTTTTGGTGGAATTTTTCACACCTAATCTTTGCAAATCAAACACATAAGGCTAACAACAGCTCTGAAATCTAGTTCTCAAAAAATGTGAATTTCCAGTGTCCAACTTGAGATAATATGTGAAGCGTTTTCAGGAATTACCTAGTGATTCTAAAATTCAGCCTAAGACATGAGATGAGGCATCCAAAATTAAAACTTAAAAGCAAATAACTTCGATCAAATACGTGATCTTGCATATCTTGGCTAAGACACAAAAATGTTTAGAATTTAATTTCCAGGCTACTTTTTCCAAAGATCAGCTTCAAAACAGATGAGCAATAAATCAGCGGTTTAATGTTTTATATTTTATTGTGTAACTGCTATAAGAATCACTGCTCTAAGATTGCAAAGAGGCCATTCACTACAGCTTGGAAAATGACATGTATACATATATCCCTTATACGTGTATGTATGTACACATACATACTTTTTAAAGGAATATTAAATTTAATTCTGAATCAAGCCATTAATTTAGTTGCAAAGCTTACACTTAAGTCTGAGCTTGTGCATTCATCTTCCTTGTCTTCCTCATCCTTTTTGTCTTCCTCTTCAGGTTCTAGCCAATACCAAGTCTCCTTGGGAACATGAATATCCTTAAATAATGAAGGATTTAAATGAAAATTATCTGCCTTTGTAGGTTTTCTTGTAAGATGCTGGATAAAAACAATTTCTAATAGGTGAGATGTTAGGTTTTAAAACTTTCCTGTATAGTATAACCAAGAATTACTAAAGCTGTAGTGGGAAACTAAGTACAGCGGTCCACAAGAAGGATTATTCACTTTTTTTAAAACAAGTAAATGCATGCTAACTTTAAGTTCTATTCCATCTATGTTCAGTATGTGTAAGGCTACACAGCAACATAATCTCACCAAGGCTGTGAACAGACACCCTTTTTTATCAATTGAATACATGCTGCCCCAAGTTATTTTATCAAGAGATCACACGGTGCTTCCTAATCCACCTCAGGTAAAGTTAAAGGAAGAAGAGTCAAAAAAGATGATCTAAGCTAATTCAGCCGACTTTGTTTGAAACAGACTAAGGAGTATCAAACAATCTGAGCAGAACTTGTGGGGCAGTATTAACCTCTAACAGGTTAATAGAGAAAAGAAAAATACTTGAAGTTTTCAAGTGGCAAACATTTATAGTAGCTCACTGCTATTACCCGTGTTACTCCTTGCAGGTTTTGGGTTTGTTTTTTGGTTACATGCTGCTTTGGTGAATCTGCTGATTCCCTCAGTCATGATCCCCATCCTTGGGAGATACTCAAGAGCTGTCTGGACATGGTCCTGGACAACCTGCTTTCGGTGACCCTGCTTAAGCAGGAGCGTTGGACAAGATGACCTCCAGAGTCCCTTCCAACATCAACCATTCTGGGATGATGTTGCTCCCTCAAGTGAGGCAAACAGCACCGTCATTTAGGACAGCCTGACTTTGGCTACTGAAAAATATGCAAACAGCTCAAAAATAACCACAAGAATGCAGGAGCAAAAACAGGTGAGCTCTGATGACACAAATTAACACGGATCCTCACATAAGTTACCATGAGGTTGGTGTACACCTCCCAATATCTTAATGGTGCAAACATATACTTTGAAATATTTTAAGAGGACTAAAGTGTTGCCACATATCAAGACTTCAGGCTAGTTATCCCACAATTTTAGAGAACTTCCAAGAAATGAATCACTACTTTGTTTGTAGCCTGTATCTCTAACCTACAAGCCTTCCTTCCAATCCCCGAAAATACAGGTCTCACTTTTTGCATATCTAATTGCTGGCAGGCCCTCTGGCTTTTTCGGAGGTCCCCTTCCATCTTACGTTCTTCTTGTTTGTTTTTGAATCTTATTCTGTTAAGAAAAAGTAGATAGCTAAAATAAGCAGGTAGACAAACAGTGAGATGCATTACAGTTGATTTTCTAAAAAAGAAAATCTAAGATTCTAGCCCTACTAACTCTTTGGAACCAGGACAATGTTGAAGTTAAGAAGTCCTCCAGACACTGTATTTCTTGGGAATTATACCTTCAAGAGAGTGCTTTTTGGATCACACTACACTGAACATTGTTTCTTCACCAGGTTTTCATAAGACATGAAAAAAGTGGTTCACTAAACATCTGCAAAAGATACAGCCTTCCCCAGGCTTTCCTTCTCCATATATAACAAGCAAATCAGGAGAAAATAAAAACAGTAAAACCTAAACAAGTTTACCCTGATTTTTAAAACCACTGTAACAACATTGCTCAGGATTATCTGTGGATTTTATATGAAAAAGATGACATGGTTCTCTGATTTAAAAAGTTGCAAATGACTTGAGAAAACTTAGAATGTATAGTTTGCATTATTAACGTTTACAAAAATAAATGATGCAGCACACACTTTTAGCATTACAGTGTTCATCTGCTTTTGCTTTAGAACTGAGAAACAGTATTTCAACTCTCACCTCTCATTAAAAACTTTCAAAAATAGTAACAGATTAAAAGAATAACCAAACTTAAAGCATAAAAAGAATTGTTGTTTAGACATTTCTTGGAATATCAGTTACATCATTTTACCTGAACTGATCTGCAGCTTGTTCATTTGCTTGTTTTTTCATAAGGAGTTTTTGTCTATAGTTTTCCAGTTTTTCTTCAGCTTTTCGCTTTTTTAATTCCTCGTGACCAAGCCCACTTCTGCCTATGTGAGTTCAGAAGATGAATGTAAGCAGTTGAGAAGCTCTGATACCCAACTAAGTAAATCAGGAAATATTACAAACCTGTTTTTATGTTCAGAGGAATAGGTTCAACAATGCCTTCTCCTGTGAGGGGAAAAAACAGGTCAATTTAAGAAACCAGGTCTTTCTCAAACTATGATTTGTGCAGTATGTTCAAGTAGGCAAGCTGCTTTTGCCATTAAATACGTACATTTTCTTGTGATTTTGTTGTTTGGAGGTTGAAAAATCCCAAATCAATGTACATTTAGCGCATTACAAATGACCCAGCTGAACTGGAATTCCCTCTCTTTTTTTGCTTGTCTGCTGGATTGCTATATACTTTTTTCAGGACACTACCCAACTGAAAGAAAATGGTGTTGACTTGACAGGTATAACATATCTGTGATGACGACTGCTTTGTTACAGCCTTCTGTAGCATTTTTCATTCTAGAATCTCACAACTTGACAAAGATGAAGAATGAAAAGAATCTGTCTGGGACAGTTCATTTGCTGATTGTCTGCTAGAGACACGCTGAACTGGCACAGCAGTTATTGATGCTTTTTTCTACCAATTTTACTTCATCTATTAAGGCTTCATAAGGGTAGGCCAGTGTGCACCATTTCTTCTATAAATTCAGAGAGAGGTGTTGACTTTTTTTGCAACACTATTAGCTTTGCAAGACTATCAAAACATCCTTAATGCAATTCCTGTAGGCATGCACATCTGGAAGTGCATTTACTGAGCAGCAAGTACTGCTGCTTCCCTCACATCTCCCGATAGTCCGTACCATTTTTATTTCAGTTTTTAGAGATTTACTCTCATCTTTTGTTCTGCCACAACACATTCACAGTTCAGTAACACTAGGGCTCTCAGAGGGGCATTTGACCCTGTCTACAAATGAAGGGGCAGCTACAGTCTGTAAAATGTAAAGGTACACCTAAATATAGGCACACACTTCCAGACAGTGACAAGCTTACCGCTTTTGCCAAGGGCCTGGCCGCTCTTGTAGCCCATCTTCTGGAGCAAAGCAAAGCCTTTGTTCTCATTGCCCAATGCACTTTTCAATACCATGTCACGTCTCTCTTTTTCTTCTTCTTTTATACTCTTTTGTCTGTTCTTCTCATTGGCGTCTTTTTGCTTTTCTTGTTTCTGAATAGCTTCCTTCATCTGCCTCACCATGGGCAAGCCTGGCCTTACATCCTGCCTAAGAGTTAATAATTCCAGTAAACATTAGCACTTTTTTTGTTTTTACATGTTTACAATCACTTAAGAGAGGAAAAAAGAGCCACCTACTTACTTAATAAATAAATCAGACATGTAGTCTTCCTCTTCATCTTCCTCCATGTTTAGCACGCATGCCCTGTTCCGACCCCCTTCCTCTATAAACACCGTCAATACGCTTTATCTCGCATTTTATTTCTCTGCAGGTTACCTGAAAGCCAGAACCCGCAAGAAAAAGTTCAGGTACGCGGCCGGAGGCTGAAGGGGTACGGCTCTGATGGACGAAAACACGTGAACCCGGGGGAGGTCGGGCCGCGCCGCGCCGCCCCCTCGCTCCCC